AAAAAAAAGTAGTAAGCACAACAGAAAAATCAGTGTCCCAGAGCCAGGATATGCAAAACCTGGATGTGGCACACGGAGCCTCCAGGATGGTGGCGAGTTTTGTCGCCTCGCGTGGAAGGAAAAGGGGCGCGCAGGGAAAGGGCAAGTTTGGGGACAACCATTCCCCGAGCTGCACCCGCACACGGACGTGTGCGGGTGCAGCTCGGGGAATGGTTGTCCCCAAACCTAGGGCCGGCTGTGCCCTGCTCACAGCCCTTCCCCAGCGCGGCTGAGGCTGGAAGAGGGGGCTGCCTGCTGCTGCCTGCAGCGCCCAAAAAGTTTGGCATTGCAGAACGAGAGGGATGTACAGGCTGTGGCTGTAATTGAACTGAATTTTAGTAACAGGCTTGGGCCAGGCCCTGCTTCTTGCTCTGTGTGTGAAGAGCAAACGTGAGCTGTCCTGAGTCACAGAAAACACCAGGAGGCTCTTGTTCTGGCTTGGGAGTATTGCTTGGTAATGTTTTTCAACACTTACTAAAGATAACATCATATAGAAAGAAATCTGGTCATAGCCTGTACGTGCAAAATTCTGACCTTGTAAACTGGCACAACAGGCCTGGCTAAATCCTGCAAGCAACACCTGCATCATCTCGGATCCAGCTTTTTTTTCTCCTCTCCCCCACCTCAAACCTTAAACTTCTTCTCTGCTAAAAAGAGCAGCTGCTTCAATTTCATTGCAAATTTCTGTCCCACACAGTGTATGTATATTCAGTAGCACAGAAAACATCCAGTGCCTGGAGTTTGTATAATTTGTATAAATTGCATAATTTCTTGGCTCTGAGCTCTTAAGTCTTACTATTAAACTACACAAAACTTTCTGATGCTTTTGAATGACCACAGCAATCCCACCTTAAGCATGTTTCATTGCTGCAGCAATGCAAAATAGATTTCTTATTCCTGAAACCAGCACATTTGTATCATCACAGCTCGTATTTCAGCTGACTAAATATGCCTTTTGAAATACTCCTATTCAGCTAAAAAATGGGGGTTTGCAGAATGCGAGTTCGTGAAGTTGTCAGTGATTGCATAAGCAAAATCCAGCCAATTATTTTTTTCACTTAAGCTTGAGAGTCTTATCTTTTAGATAGATAGCAAAAGTGACAGTTCTCTTACATCCAATGAATACGTATCCAGCTCAGTGAGATTTTCAGAACAGCCGAGGAGTTTAGTCATGTATGGGTGATAAAGGGAAATAAGAAATGAATATTTTTTGTCTAAATCCCTTAAGCCGCTTTGAAAACTTCAATTAAGAGCTGATGAGCTTAAAATATGGCTTTGGGGTTGTCCACACATGTTAGACATATCTTTGTATAAAACTTCACCGTGTAATACAAAAGGTGGCTGCGCTTACAGAGATGAAAAGATCAGATTTGAATTATTGTGTTTTCACTTAAAATATGAAATACGGATTTTCCAGGTATAAATATCTGGCTGCCGAGATGAAAAGATCAGATTTGAATTATTGTGGTTTCACTTAAAATATGAAATATGGAATACGGATTTTTCAGGTATAAATATCTGGCTGCTTTTGTGCTCAAAAAGTTTAGGTCTAGGTTAAAAAGAGCAAGTCCTATTTGAACTTGGAGCCTTGGTGTCTTTGTTAGACAGAGATTTATTAGACTCTTAAGCTTTTAGTAATCTTGAAGGCGCATTTTTTCACTCTGGCTGTAGTAGATCCAGCTTATTCTTTCCTCAGTTAATGTGCAAGTTTGCTACGGCAGCCGAATGTTTTTATGGCATGTGAAAATGTCTTTTTTTGTTGTTAAGTACAGGGCTCTTTTGTTTTTCCTCAAGGGAGAAACTGGAGTAAATTTGTCAATGCCAGTAGGTAGCAATATTTATTTTTTCTAAATCTAAGTATATGCATCATGATTTAAATTTTTCCTACAGGGTAGAAAAAAATACATTTATAGTAGAAAAGTTGTTAACTCAAGAATGATTGTCCATGGCACATTACTTGTGGGTAAAGGGCAAAGGTTGGTAGAATTTGGCAAGATCCAAATGCTCGATGTGAGATTTTATACTATAGTGTGTGTTGGAACAGGCCTTTTGCTTAATGGGTCAGAAGCAGGTGCATTCATTTTGCAAATTGTTTGTGCAATGGCATACTGGTGCCACAGTTTGGCAGGATGTGGCAGATCCAGTAAAGCCAGGGAGATCCAGCTTTTACCTTTTCCATAGCAGGGGGTAAATCACTTGGCACAGGCAGTAAGAAGGCTGGCAAAGCAGTAGTCTGTGCAGTGGAGAGAGGAGGGAGATGTTTCTATGGAGAGATGGATGGAAGTGGTTTCTTCTCAAGGAGCTGCTCTTTAAATATCTTCCAGTGCAAGCCACACGCAGGGCTGCGCTTCCACAAGTGTGAGCTCTGCCTTTGCTCTAGCTCTGCACGAGGAGAAGCTTCAGCAAGATTGTTTCTCTCTCCACCTAGTTCTAATCTGGAATCGATGCATGAGATTTATTGCTCAGTTATAGTAGAGTTTCAAAAATATGCTATGGTGAGCGAGACAGAAAGCACTAATGTGAAATTCTTTAATGTAAATATAAAGGCAAGTTCTTTACAGCTTGGGTGAGTAGAAAAAAGGTGCCAGGACCCATGCTGTTTGTGACTCTGCGCTATTTGTGAACGTGAAGGTCTGCTTTGTTACAGGGCATGTTTAATTGCACAAGATTCACCTGCCTGAAATACTATAAAAACATTTCTCCGTCGTGGTCCCTTTTGATCTGTCTGTGTGGCTGCATTAGTATCTGAACCAGTGATGTCTGTGGGCTATGAGCTCTCTAAGCTTTGTTGTTTGTTATGGAAAAAATGGGAAAAATCATGGTAGAAAATATGAAAGTCATAATGTTTGTTAAGAAAAAGAAAAGTCACCATATGGCTCAACAGATTTTAATTAATATTAAATTGCCAGGGGAAATTTTGCAAAAAGTCAAATAAAAATCCTTTATTTTACAAATAAGTGCTCAGAATTTGTTTTCAAATACATTTCTGGGGCAATTAGGACTGTTAGGAAGCCTAGAGATAGCAATGGGAGCGCGGGGGCATTTTCAGAAATACAGAAGTGCACAAGGTGGTTTCGGAGAATATTGTCACAAATCTGGCATTTAACTCCCACTGAGAGGCCTAGCAGTAGACGCTTCATTCCTTTAGACCTTACTGGTATTTATATCATCCTGTAAATGTAATGAGTAGTTTTAAATCACTGACTCTGAAAACGCACAAAACAACACCTCCAGATTCCAAGTTATACCAGTTATCCTTGTATTCTTCATTAAGAAAGTGCCTGGAATGGAAAAGTCTGTGGTTTCTGTGCTAAGAAACCACATGGCAAGGGCAAGTCATGATTTTTATTAGGGAAATCCTGCAATGATAAACAGACCTGGACATTCTGAGTCAGAAAATCAAATATATGCTCAGCGTGAAACGTAATAAAGTGTCCTTCCTTAGTAGGGACGCTTTTCTCAAGGTGGACTATAGGTAACTTGAAGGAAAATGAGTTTCC